AGTGCCCGGCTGTCCCGGGGTGTCCTGCTGTCCCGGTGTCAGTGCCCGGCTGTCCCGGGGTGTCCTGCTGTCCCGCTGCCGGTCCCGCCGCGCTCCCGGGGCAGGAGGGCACCCGGGCAGGCTCTGCTGCTCCCTCCTGTGCTCGGGCACCACCGATTTGCACTTCGACGTGACCGGTCCCGCGGGACCCGCCGTGCTCGCCATCCTTTCCGCCCCACCCTCTGAGCCGCTCGTTCTTCACACGGACCATTCCTTGTTCCCCAACCACCGCCGCACGGGTCAGACCCCCGGGCTGCAGCAGCAGCAGCACCCACACTCTGTGCCAAACAACTGAGCAGCACAAAACTCACCAGGATGTCAGGCCCGAGGTCTGCTCCGGCCGTTCAGCACAGGTAACAATTCCCTTGCAGGTGTCTGGTCATTTCCCCCCCTCTGCCAGCCTCCCTCCAGGGGTGGCCAAGACTCCAAGTGGCTCCCTGGGCTTCAGATCTGTCATCAAGCTGTTTTGAAGCACTAGTCCTGTTTTGGGGTGGTTGGTTGGTTGGTTGCTTGGGTTTTTTTACTTATTGTTGGGTTTTTTTGTTACCTTATCAGCTGTGCGTGACACACTTGATTTCCTAAAGCACTGGGAGTCTCTCCAAAACATTGGTGATATTAACTGTGGATGTGGAGCCCAGTTAGATAAATTTATGTGTTACTTGTAGAAATCAATCTGACAAACAAATAGAAATGAACCAAGTCAACCAAAAAGTGCATCTGTTCAACCTGCTGGGGACCTTTAACACTTAATCTGACAGGAAAAGCCAAACCTGAACTCCTGATTTCCCTCCTCACAAGCCTCTGCCCCCCCTGCAGGGTGAGACCCGGGCCCTGCTGCACAGAGAAGGCAAAGCACTAAAACCAGCATCCAGGCTGCTGAGCTTGGCCAACACATCCTGCTCCCGAGGTCCAAGGAACTTCTCCAGACAGAAGCTTTTGGAAAAAGGAGTTTTCATTAAAAAGATGCCCCTTCAGTGTGATTCACGGAGAGGGGGGGTTGTTCAATGCTGATGAAGCCCTGCGGATTATGGGATTTCTCAAGGAGTGCCCTGGGAAGAGCACCCTGGTTCTGGCAGCACCCTGTGCTGGCTACACAGCTGGGGACACAGGAAACCCTGAAGGACCCTCATTTCTACCTCCATTTAACAAACAGAAAGAAAATTAAAGCATGATGGAATGACCGGAGGAAATGTCAGCGTAATCAAAAACCAAGACAGAACCATAGTAGTAAATTGCAAAGTTGTGGGAATTGGCCATTATATCTCCTAAGCAGCTGAAATGCAATTATAGTAATGGTGATGAATCAGGATAGCCCTGGGCTTTGCAATTTTTCAATCCAGCTCTACCTTTTCCTTTTTTCCATTTTGTCTCAACGATATCTACATTAGCATCAAGGACCCATGGAAGATGCAAGCCTTCCCCAGCACCTTCTGCAGAGTCACCAAGGCAGGGGCATTAGCACTAAACTCCTGACTCGAGGGACCCTGCAATCATTTATTAAATCTCCTTCCAATTCCCCTTTGCTCTCTGATTAACTCCATTGCAGTCTTCTCACCACAAAGTCTCATGATTGGATATTTTTTACTTTGGTCACCAATGAAAGACACCAGGCTCAAGGAACTTCCTAGCCCATTCTCTGCAGGGTGCTGTGTCTGTGCAGGGACAGAGCAGCAGTTCTCTTTCTCTCTGAGGCTGCAGGTTCAGCCTTCTCCTGCCAGCAAAACCAGGGAGTTGCTCAACTTTGGGGGGTTTTAATGGTGCAAGTTCCTGTGGGTGGGAACTCCCTCCTTGGTGCCACTCACCACAGCAAGCACAGTCCTGAGCGGGTTACCAGCAGTGTCACAGGATCCAGAATTATCACTTCAGATAATCAGATAAATTAATGTCATTTTCTGAAGCAGCTTGTCTGATCAGACAGCTGCTTAGCCTCTCACTGCCTTGTGTTTCTCTTTTATACAACAGAATAATAATTAATCTCGGGAGGGAGGAGCTTACGTGTGCTTATTAAGAAAACTAATGATACGTTTATAATAATAATAATAAAGTAATATAAATAGATGCATTGTTATTAAAAGCATGTTTCAGGCAGCATTGTTGCAGCACCATGACAGCTTGAAGTTGTGTCAGTTCCACAGAAGTGCTGGGGTGAGGGGACAGGGCAGCCCAGGCATCCACTGGGCTGCCCCAGGACCGCTGGCCCTGGCAGGAAGGTGGGGGACCAGGGTTGGATGACCCAGACCAGGATGCTGGCAGCCTCACCACGACCACACACAGATTTTCAAACCTGCCCTTACTGAATACAGCTGATGACTCCCACGACATGTCTTTCCACATCAGGGATCCCTTTGTCTTTTCCTAAGCAGCGACGTCGTAACTCGGCGTCTCATGCAGCAAGAGAGGTTTGGCAAGGACTTGTTGGGTCTTTAGGGTCCATTCTCAGCTGTTGGTGGCAACTGCTTCAGGGTAAGGCAGCTTTGGGAAGGATGACCCAGAGCCTCAGGACTTGAGCTGCTGGAAGCTCTGGTGTTCTCGTGTTTCAGTCCAGACTCTTCATGGCCATCGGATACTTTTTTGGCTCTAACACCAACATCACCCTTGCTCTTAAGGGAGATGTGTTTACTTCAGTGTTTACTCCCTGAAGTTTCATGGAGAGCAACTGTATCCCTCCTCAGCATTCAGGTTTTTGGC